AGCATCGCAGCCCGTTCGTAGATTGCGCAGAAGGCGTCGTTTATGAAATCCCGCTGACGTGGGGCAAAACGTACGTTGAACAGACGGGAAGATGTCTAATACCCCTGTCAGACTGGCTAGTTTAGTGTCACTACAAGCGAGTGCACTTCAACCCGCCGAACCACACTCCAAGTGTGTTGGTGCTACACGGAAAAACTTAGTGTCACTCCAAAATGATGGCAATGACGATGGGTAAGTAATGGGCACGCAAAATATTACAGTGCATACGCATTTTTTTCATAAATAACTTCGTCGTCTTATTAGAAACACGTTACCACACATTGTTGCGCTAAGTCACGAGCTTTTATCCAAATTTAGACCCAACTTGATCATTAGATCAGCCATTACATGCTAGTGATACACGTCCGCACGCCGGTACAATGCTAATCTATACTCTGTTTCACCTTATAATGTACCGCAGGAAAGGCTACAAGCGCGAGCGCCTTGCTCAGGGCACATCTCGGCGGCAGAAGCTCTCGTGCGTTAAGAGTAGCTCCCAACGCTATGAGCTCGCGCTTCTAGCCTTGTTTGCGGTACAACATAAGGTGAAACGGAGCGAAACGAGCAGAAGATAGGGATTGAGCCCAGCATACCTGGGTTCTGCAGCGCGAGCTTTCGCCCCGCGTGCTCCAAGCTGGTGTGCGCGAGCCCACTCGGCCACTCGCCACTCGCCACAATCACGGTGGATCTTCCACCGTGGCCACAATGAAACATCATGGAGTGCGTGGAGGACGAGCTGGAGGGCGATATCCGCAATGTTGGACAGTGGAAGCGCGTGGTCGGGGCACCTTTCTCCTTGAAAGCCCAACGCCTTTCAGATATGAAGCAGCTGGACCAGGATGCCGACGCACAGGCAAGAATTTCAAGTGACATCGATCAAAAGCTGAAGGCCAATGCCTTCACCATAGCCGCTCTCATGACCGACAACCTACCCGTGATCAGTCGAGAACGGTGGACTTTCCAGAGGAGCAAACGGTGGTTCGAAGACACCTTGCCCCATTCGGGCGAGTTCTATTTCAAGCAAGCCTTTCGAGCCTCTCCTGCTACCTTCAGATTCCAAATGGAGTCTCGCAGGTGCCTCCTGGTCGTCGCTGGCCGTCGCGCAGGGGCCAAGGCTGGAAACTTGATTAGCCGCTTGTTTTTCTACAATGCACTACTTTCCTGCCAACAGAAAACAAGTGCGCATCTAATATTACTCCTATCAAAATAATACTAATTTTACGCAGCGTTAATTTCTTCTATTGTTTTTACTCCTTGAACACTGCTATCAAGATTACACACTTGGTCTACAGGAGCAAGCGTAGTGGCTCCCCGAACTCACTTCAATGGAAGTGTGTTCTTCCGGCAGGGCTGGGGATTGAGCTCAGGATCACTGGGTTCTCCAGCGCGAGCTTTCTCTCCACGTACTCCGATCTGGGGGGCTAAGCTCGGCGTGGCGAGATCGAGGCGAGTTCTCCGCCAAACTCGCCGACCGCCGCGATTCGTCGGCGCCGTGCATGACGACACGCGCCGACACTCCCTAGATCGTGACGTTAAACGGAGGGTTTGAGGCAGTCGGAGAGTTGCATATTCGGAACTCGCGGCGAGATGCGGTGACGTCATTGTGACGTGGCAGAAGCCGCCGCGGATGGGAAAAGCTTGCCGGCTCCGACCTAGGCGAGTTTGGGCGAGTTGGGCGCGAGATCAGGGAGAAGCGTCCAAAATGGCAGCGTTTTCGTTCGTGTTTTGCCGTCGGCATAGGTATTTAAACCACGCCAATGTGTTGGACATGGACGACGTTCATTTTCAACAACACTATCGCCTCTCGAAAGACGTGGTAAGGTGGCTGCGCGATGAACTGCGTGGCGAACCGGGCTTGAGGCGATGGAGCCGTGAATGAACCGCCGCCCCCGTCTTGAATCCTACATCCAAATTCTACAAAGTGAATCCTAGAAACAAATGTGTTTTTACGGCAATCTGCAACCAGGAACGCAATTTACCATTACCTACAGGCTTTTACAATTATTTTGATGGGTTGCTGTGCTGCGTAGATGCAAGATAAACGCACTTGATAAAATTCAAACTAAAACAGATGATAGAAGAAAAGCAATATACATGAATGGCGCAGACTAACAACTGTGTAATTTCTTTTTCATCTTTCTTCTTCCACACCGTATTTTGACAAACAAATTGGCCGTTAGTTGTTTATACAGCAGGAGAACATGCCAGAACATTGCGACATTGTCACCTATACTGTTGATAAGCAATTTAGCCAGTGCAGTATGACTGCTAGCCTAGGGTCTTTAACGTGCACCACGTAGTAGTGATACACGACCGCATGCCGGTACGATGCTCATCAACATCGAAAAGGGCGGGGTTGGGGATGAATCCATGATCCTGGGTTCTACAGCGCGAGCTTTCGCTCCACGTGCACCCTATTCTGAAAAAAAAATATTGTGGCTGTGTGGGGGGAGAAAGATGAGAAATAAATTACACAGTTGTTAGTCTGCGCCATTCCTGTATGTTGTTTTTCGTCTATACTCTGCTTTAGTTTATATCTTTATTAAGAGCGTTTTTCTTGCATCTACGTGGCGCAGCAAACTATCACAATGTCTAGTCAACTAGCCCATATCCAAGCAATGTTTGTATAATTAGCATCCCTGCTGTTACCTATTCTTATTTGTCATTTACGATTTAAATAAAAATATTGGGCTGTATGTATGTTGATACTGCCTAAAACTTGGTCTACTTCAACGGGGAAGATTCTCCCAGCTGTAGATGAGAAATTTAGCCATGCAGTGCCGTACAACCGCTAGCCTGGGGTCTTTAAAGTTCATCCCGCAGTAGTGTTACGCGATTGCACGCCTGTACGATGCTCATCAACATCGAAACGGGCAGGGGTGGGGATTGAACCCAGCATCCTGGGTTCTGCAACGGACTTTTCGCTCGACGTGCTCCGAGTTGGTGTGCGCTAGCCCAGCCGGCCACAGGTCCCCCGATTTGAATAAAATAAAAACCCTTCACTGCGGAGCGTAGGGAAAAATCGGAGCTACGCTGGGGAACTCGCCGCCGCCGGGGGGGTCGGAAATGTAAGAGGGGGAGCGGGAAACTCACCGGGGCGGAGTCAAAAGAAGCTCCTCCCCTCCCTCGTGACGTGGCATCGGAGAGATTCCTGCCGGAGGCGAGCTTAGCCCCCCTGGTGGGCGCTAGCCCACTCGGCCACCGATACCCCTTAATAAAGACACGTTAAAAAAATTAGACGTTTACAATTCTTTGTAATGCCGAATTGGAGCGCAGCTCTTGAGAGGAGGGAGGAAGGGTACGAAGGGGAGGGTGTGCCAGCTGCTCCCCATCCGTACTCTCCCATCCTCCTCTCCTATTCCCATCCCACTTAGCGCAAAAAATTAGCTAAATTTCCCGCTAAATCTAGCCGGGAAATTTTCCCGCTGAATTGACGTGTGACGTCACATGACACGTCATCTAAAATCTTAAAAGTGACGTCAAACGGGTAAAAGTTTTCTTCTAAATTTAGCGGAAAAATTTTCCGCCAAACTGAGCAAAACTTTTACCGCAAAATTTAGCGGGAAAAGTTTACCCTCGTGACGTCACGTGACGACACACAACGAAAAGTTTACCCACGTGACGTCCCTTGACGGCACACGTGACGTCACGTGTGACGTCATTTTGGGAAACAGCCTTTAACGCAACGCGCGGTTACGCCGACGCCGCTTAAATCAGAAAGGGGTGCCTAGGAACTGTGCTGTGAAACAGCGTTGCATTAATGAACGATTTTTACGCCATTTGGGTAATTCTGATCGATCATCGCAAGCCAATATAAAGAACGAAGCATATCCAACTTTGGCGTTCCTCTTCGTTCCACGGAAGCCTACGAGGAGGCCCTGACACTGCCTAATCAGATCATAATTATCGTGTTGTCTCGAATAATTACATGCTGAAACAAAAGTATACTCTATCATTCTCTGCTAACTACAGTGTTCTAGAGGGGGTTGTAGTGGCAAGAGCGGCGGCCGCTTTGTGAAGATTTTGCGCGTAGACGACACCATGGCGCTGCTGTTCTGTGCCCTAGGAGTGCGCCCCCGTCAGCCCCATCATCAGTGCTGTATGGCGCTTACTACTGTGGTTTGACTGGAGCTTTTCGCGGTGCGAAACAACTGCTAATGTTGTTCTGTAAACTCTGTTTCACCTTATGATGTACCGCAGGAAAGGCTACAAGCGCGAGCTCCTTGCTCTGGGGCACATCTCGGCGGCACAAGCTCTCGTGAATTAAGAGCAGCTGTTAACACTATGAGCTCGCGCTTCTAGCCTTCGCTGCGGTACAACATAACGTGAAACGAAGTATAGTAAATTGTAGTTCTGCCTTTGAACTACTGCCTCTAAAGTGTGTTATCCTCTACTTGAAATAGTCGCGTGTTTTGAGGGAGATAATTTACTTAATATCGACTCCCCCCCCCCCCCCCCCCCCAGTACTGACACATCGTTCAGTAACGCTATCACTTGGGCTGCAGGCTTAATAGCTGCGAAAGAAGTTCTACGGTGCTACATTTTGGAGAAGCGTACCGCGCCACCCTCGTCGTCTTCTTCGTTCATCGCACACGTGCCATTAATTCTCCTAGGGCACGGAACTCCAGCGCCACTCGCGGTATCTACGTCGACCGTCTTCACGCGCTTCATTGTAAGCGGGCGCCGCTCTTGCCACTACACCCTCTAGAACACTGTACTGCTAACCAAGATAACCAGATGGACGTCGAAGAAGTACAGCCAAAGGATATCTGCGTACCTCGCTCCAAGGAATCTGGCCTAATTTTTCTTTACCACCGGCAGGACAAGACGAAAACCTTTTTCAGATCCTTAACATAATCAGCAACGAGAATATCCCTTCATCAGCACATAAGGTGGGCCACCCCGTCAAGCCGACCCAGGCCTGGGGTTCCACATCGACTCAACTAACATGGCCGACCAACCTGGCATTCAAATGGAAACCAATCAATTCGACGCAGAGACCAGTCATGACGACTCAGCTACAGCTAGGATGAACTAATCGAAGAAGACAACGCTCCCAACGATGCTGAATCTCTGGATGCAGATATCAAAACGGTGAGCAGCAGAAAGAGCTTTAAACGAAAAAAAGGACGCCAGAACGGCAACAGCTCCAACTCAACCGATGACACCATCCTATCTCAACCACAACGCCAGACTGGTCTGACCGTTATGTTGGCGCCTAAAACTCCAGAAACTGTGCTAACAAAACTGAGTAGCATAAAACTTTCCAAAGCCCTCGATGAAATCATTCCCGAAGGCGTCATACGATATAACCTACGCCTAAATCTCATCGCTGTCGATACTCGAAATGGTCAATCAACCAACGCACTTCTCCGTCTTAGCAGCATCTGCGGAATTCCGGTCACGCCTTATGAACCGCGGAATAGCTCCTCTGTTGTCGGTGTCATCAAGAACGTCTCTTCTGACGTAACAGACGCTCATCTCAATACATCGTTACTAGCCTGCTGTCCCATATCGAATGCTCGACGCCTGGGGAGCACTGAAGCTGTACGAATAGTATTTTTGTTCCCATGCTTACCGACGCACGTAACGCTAGCACATGTAAGATACCCTGTGACGCCTTTCAAGGATCGCCCTATCCAGTGCTCTAAATGCGGAAGCTTTGGCCATCGCCCAGCGGTGTGTCGTCGTTCTGCAAGGTGCAGCAAATGTGCAAGTGAAAGCCACACCACGGAACAATGCAAAGACGACCCTAAATGCGCAAACTGCGGAGAAGCACATCCTTTCACATCCACAGAATGTCCGAACTGGAAGCGGGAGTGCGCAATAAAACAATATCAGATGGAGAAGAAAGTAGACTACATCACAGCACGTACAGTAGTTTGCTCTGGAATATACTCGAAACCTGCAGTGGAATACCCCCCCAAGAAAAACGAGCCCGGTAACCGTAATGTCCAACAAACTAAGAAATCCCCGTCGATACCTGGCTCTACACGTGGTTCAAACCAACTTGCAACAACTCCACCGTGCGGCACTCCTCAGACACCGTCAACAACAGTTCTACAAGTCCCAACAGCTGCCTGTAGCTCCACTCCTCAGAAAAAGTACACAGCAGCGCTACAAGGGGAACCAAGACAAAGCAAGGTAAAACCTACTCAACATCCAAATCCCGTGCCAAACAACACAGGTGTAGAACCCCCCAAGCAAGCAAACCTGCATGAGAGTCAGCCTTTCGGCGACAAGCCCACGCAAGCCTCCAAGGTATCTGCACCAGCCGAAAAATCCGAGGGCATTGGAGCTCTCCTTAAATCCATCTCTGAAGTAATCCGCAAAATTCTTCAGCACTTTACATCCCCTTACGCGTTAATTGCCCTTAAGATCATGGACTCTTTCCTACCCATTATTGAGACATGGTGTGGTTAAAACACTTGGCCTTCGAATCATTTTTATTTTTTTTTATTATCATTATGTCATCCTTACAAAATTTTAAGTCTTGCACACTATTTCAGTGGAACGCACGTGGACTTTGTTCAAAGCTGTCTGATTTCCGTCAGCTAATTAGGGAACATCAATTTCCTCTTATTACTATTTCCGAGTCAAGAGTTGCTGACTCATTTCGCCTAAATGGCTATCAAATATATCATTCCGAAAGAGGCGGGGAGGAAAGTAGGTTATTTCTCGGATGTCGAACTGACGTTACAGTAGTCGAGCACATTATTGCTCCCCATCCAACAAATGAATATGTCTGTGCCACAGTAGGACTTGGGAAAACCAAACTGACTATAATCACAGCCTATATCCAACCGAATGTCCCTTTCGATTCAGGAAGACTTGATCAAATTTTGCAAACTACTCCAACCCCTCACGTCGTCTGTGGAGATTTCAATGCCCACAATCAACTTTGGGGCAGCAGAAAAACAACGTCACGAGGAACAGCTCTTGCCGACCTCATGGAAAAATATGGGCTTCTCTGTCTTAATGACGGAAGTGTAACATTTCTAAAAAATGCGAAATCAGGAAGCTGTCTCGATGTTTGTTTCGCATCCAGTGACCTCTTCAACAAAATGTCCTGGCACACGGACCTTGAAACGCGAGGAAGTGACCATTATCCAATACTCATGGCATTAGAAGGAATACCCTCAAGGAAGAAGCAACTACAATCCATCAACTGGGACAAATATAGAGAAATGGCAAACCAAGGCATAACAGCTGCGACAAGTGATGATGAATTAATTCCAACTTTATCATATTCCCTTACTGAGGCAACATTTTTTACCTTTGTGCGTCAGGTTGAAAATGCATGCGATCAAGAATACTTAAGACTACGTGCTTTAAGACGGAAAACAGAGCGGAAAGCTCTTCGTACAAAAGACCCGGTAGATATGCGAGCTTCACGACGGGCACAATTACACATTCGGAGACATCTCGAAAAATTAGCAAAAGAGAGGTGGAGGGAGATATGTAGAAATCTCGATGTTCGTAAGTCATTTACATACATATGGAAAATTATCAGAGGTCTAAGGAGAAGCCCCCAGCAGCGATATCCATTTAAAGCACTCTCACTATGTGAAAATCAAAGTGAAGTCGATACTGCGAACAATTACTGCGCTTTCCTAACAAGTGGTGGCATACACAGTAGTACTATCTCGACTCCGGGACCTACCACACCTGCTGCAACAAACGAAAGTCTAAATTTGCTCTTCACTATTGATGAGCTAAATGCAGCAATTCAAGGTGCAAATAGTTCAGCGCCAGGTAAAGATGGCATCACGTATAACGCCGTGGCACACCTTTCCCAACATTCCAAACTCAGACTTCTTGAATACTACAACAATTCCTGGATCAAAGGAGCCTTACCACAAGAGTGGAAAATTGCAAAGATTGTGCCGATTTTGAAGCCTGGTAAGCCGCCCACTAGTCTCGAATCTTTCCGACCCATTGCACTCTTGAGTTGTATAGGAAAGCTAATGGAAAAAATGGTACTCGGTAGAATTTCATGGTTTTTAGAACAAAACAAATGTTATTCAGAACAAATGAATGGCTTCCGCCGTGGACGGCCATCTACAGACTGCATCATTGATCTTACAACGAGTGTCGAAGAAGGTAGAGCCAAAGGTCACACAACCACTGCACTGTTTTTAGATATTACAGCAGCATTTGATTCTGTTCAGCATGAGGCAATATTAATGGCTCTCGCAGATCTAGGACTTGGAGGACGCATTTATAAATGGATATAAGATTACCTCAAATGCAGAAAAATTTACATTGATACTTCAGAAGGAAGTTCCAACTATTTTGATGTTGTCAAAGGAGTACCTCAGGGTGCAATACTAAGTTCCACTCTATTCAACATCACACTGATAGCATTAAAAAAGCATCTTCCCCGAAGAGTTAATATTAGCATATACGCTGATGACATCTGCGTATGGTTTACTTCCCGCTCTAGGCTAACTGTAAAGCTGCGGTTGCAAAAATCTCTCCATATATTGGCAAATTTTCTAGGTTCCAAAGGCCTCCAGATTTCTCCCAAGAAAACAGTTGCCATGGCATTTACGAAGAAATCTATGAAAAAGTATCCGATCTTTTTAGGCGGACATACAGTTCCTTATGTCACAGTACATAAATTTCTAGGGCTCAACATTGATCGAAATCTCTCATGGACGAAAGAAGTTAATTCTCTAAAAAAGCGAATCACGGGAGCAACCAATGTTCTACGCTGCCTTGCAGGAACAGCTTGGGGATGTAACTGCAGATCAATGATTCTACTCTACAAATCTCTGGTTGAAGGAATAATAAGGCACTCTATTCCACACCTAACAAATATAAGCCTAACGAGTAAACGGCAGCTTCAAGGAACGCTTAACAGATGCATTCGAATCTGCCTTGGTCTACCAAAAGGTTCATCTGGACCTGGCACGGTAGCAGAAGCCAAATGCCTTCCTTTGTAAGTATTACAAAAACAAGAAATAGTACGAATTCATTTACGCCATAAAACTCAGCATAAGAATCACTATCTTTCTAAAATACACATAAAACGTTCAAACTCCAGCTATGGGGATACTTTAGGTCGAAATATTGACAATATTCCAAAGCAGGCAATTTTTACTGACTACTCCAAAATACCTCCATGGACGCTTCGAAAAATGGATATTGAACTAAACATCCCCGGAATCCTCGCAAAGCACCAACAGAGTAGCTTAGTTATGCTACAACTTGTAATGAGTTACATATATGAAACTTACACTAGAACAACGCACATATATACCGATGGCTCAACAACGGCGACGACTTCATCGTCAGCATTCTTCGTTCCATCGAGATTTCTTGCAAGATCTTGTCGTCTAAACCATCATACATCATCAACAGCCGCTGAGCTTCACGGAATTAAGGAAGCAATCAAGTATATATGCCAACAACCACCACAAAAATGGACCTTATTTACAGATTCGAAATGCGCTTTACAGTCGCTCAGTCCTATTGGAAAGAAATCAATGTATTCGATTTATTGCCTAGAAATAGCTGAGTACCACCCCCTAGCATTCGAAAACGGTCACCAAATAACCTTTCAATGGATACCAGGACATTCCGGTATACGGGGTAACGAATGCGCTGACAAATCAGCCAAGAGGGCCCACCAGCACATCTCAACACGAATGGTTCCTTTTACGAAAGGCGATTGCACATCTCTGACAAGACAAATAGCAAAAAGTGCACGTGAGATGCTTTGGTTCTCACCAGATGCTAACTACAAATTTCTCTATGACATAGACCCTTTATTAACAACACAACTACCAAGCGATCTACCACGAAATTTAGAAACTCTTATACATAGACTTCGCCTCAACTGTGCGTACACGAAGAACTATCGCTTTAATATAAAACAACGCGTGACCCCGGACTGTGAGAAATGCGGTGCGCCGGAAACCATCAGACACATTCTACTCACATGTCAAGCATATGAAAATGAACGCAAAGTTTACAAAAATTCTACGAATGCTCTGGACTGTAGACTTTTTGATCTACCAAAGCTCCTCGGACCTTGGCCTGCTAAGACACAACGAGCAGCCCTAAAAGCTCTCTTTAAATTTCTCGAAGACATTGACTTGCTGACAGTGCTTTAATTATTTTTCTAATCTTTCTCTCATATCCCATCCTGAAACTAGACACTATAGCGTGTATATATTTTAACGTTTCATCTCATCATCATTGACCCTTTGTCGATCGTCTTTCTGTCCCCCCTCCCCTTCCCCATCACAGAGAAGCCTGTTAGAGCGCAAAGCTCAGACTAAACTCTCTGTTTCAATAAAGATATTCTCTCTCTCTCAAGATAACCATGAATGACTGACTTTGTCGTCGTCTTTTATCAATTCACCGCTGCGCTAATCTTGATTCAGGTAAGCCTAAACTCTATGTCCACCCCACTACTTTTTTTTTGCAATGCCACTCTTCTACATGTCGTCTCTTTCACGAATTTCTTTTTTCTTTATAAAATAAAACTTACGCAACGCTTTTGGTTTCTGTGTTGTTATGTTTTACTGTTGAAACGCTCCTACTGATTCCACGCGCTCGATCGAGCGAAGTGAGTTCGTCAAACCCACTCCAAGAAAAGTGTGTTCCTCAGGAAGGAGCCGTGCGGCACACTACAGAAATGACACTAAGGGCGAAGTGAACTCGCATGCAGTGACACTAAACTAGCCCGTCTGACAGGGGTATAAATGACAGATTGCGCGAGCACAACCAAAAAGTGAGCGGACAGCGTGACGGTCATTTGTCGATGCACTGCCATGACTGTGGGTGCAAACCTGAACTTAATTTGTGCACTGTCATTAGAAAACATAGAGATAAGACGGTAACGGCAATTATAGAGGCAGACCTGATAACAAAACTACGGGGATCGATGTGTCAGCGTGGCGTCGATCGATTTGGCCGACAAAGAGACACAGTTCTTGCGATCAGTGGCGTGGCTTGGGATTGGTTGAATGGTGCGATGATGCAGAGTATTTATACCCTTGATTTTCTGACGATTAAACCAGTTGAAGTTAGCGCATTGTGTTATCTCCGTCCTACTCTTGGTACCTGTCGTGAAGCGCTATTATGTTCTCCCAGTCGCGTTCGTTCCTTTGGCTTGGTGCTGTTGTGAAAAA